TGAATGGAGTATCAGTAATCTTGTGTTTCGTTTCATATATGCACCACAACATTGCTACTCTTGTGTAAACAGGTCAGTACACAATAAAACAATAATGTTTCAGATAAATAGGTCTGTAAATGATTCTAAGACCGTACACCATTGCTGTGGTGCGTATCTGCTACGTTTTCTAAATTATTTCCTACCGTATCGTGCATATTTTTTATCCGTACATACGCCGATACGGCCCTTATCTGGAGCCCTGAATACAGTACGAAAACATATGTACCGTGTATCGCAATCATGTTTTATTTAGTTCAATACCTTGTGCCACAAGGATGCCCAAAAAAAAAAAAAAAAATTTATAAAATTATAAAGGTGTATATGTAGAAGAATATACATATAATTGTAACCTATACTCTCCAGACCTCAATTTATTTATCTCACCCTCACGCCAAGTGACGTAATACCATTGTAGACATGTTATGTCATACTCATATCATTCAGGTCCATATGGCAGTGGAGGGTGTTTTTTTATTCCGTGAAACACAATATAGGATGCATATGATGCATAGATTATTCATGTAGCACTGTGCACCTCATGATGATTGTGGGACGCTGGTGGAGTTATACACTCTTTATCAAATGCGTGTTTTATTTTGAGATGTTCTCGTGAAAAAGAAAAAGTAGGCTTTTTAAAACTGGTAACTTGACATTCATTAACACACACGGGACCGCTGTCCGTCAAGTTCTAGCGTATAACTGGCATATTCACCGAGCGCTTTTCCATTTCAACAAATATAGTGTATACCTATCATCGTATTTTGTTTTTGACTTCTTTTTGCCTGGCTATGCTCCCAAACATCAATATCAACTGCAAGCCATTATCGACTATTCATTCGATAGACGCCAGTTTGTTGGTCTGAAACATGTGATAGTGTGGCTAGGCCTGGAAACAAATACGGACAGGTGACAATGCAAATGCGGAAGCGTGTCACGGATACTGATATAGAACGATAAACGACAGATGTGACCCCGGCTCCACCCGGATCTTCACGGGTCTCCTGTAATTTGATGAATCTATTCAGACAGCCGTTCCACGTGCGCGGTACCTGCAGAGGAGTGAATGCAAATTTTGATTTTCGACTCTGCAAACTATATGACAGTACATGTCATGATATGGTATGATAAATGTTTTTCAAAATGACAAGATGGGAATTATTCCTGACGTCATACAGCATTTCTTAATCACAACAACCAGTACTGGAATGCACCTTCTTTTTTCGCCGAGTTTCGCAATATTCCGGGGTAAAAATAAACAAACAAACAAACAAACAGATGAAGACGCAGAAGACCAAAATTACCATCTCCTCATATCAGTAGTGCGTCATACAGACTCTGAAACAAATATACCAAATGCAGCCCATGCAATTCTAGAATGTGTGGCAGGTCTAGATTACCACAGTTTTGGGTCTCCTTTTAACTGCATTTTATCAACATAATTTTTAAAACCTTTTTTCTTCTATGAAATATGTTCATTTCAGTGACTAAATGTAAGTCTATCATATCACTGACAGAACCAACCCCGAGTGTTCAGCGTAGCGAACGCTTTAACCACTGAGCTACTCCACCGTCCTTATCAAACAAATATCTTCTTATGATTACATACTTATATTGTTATGAGATTCAATTAATGCGGAGTGTTCCTTTGTCCGCTGCAACAAGACAGGCCTGTGTGTGAACTATCACTTTACCGCGCATGTGATCCGTGCAATCGTAGCAGTCATTCCAGTAATAGAGATATATTAATTCCTAATAATATTCTCATGTTTCAAGACGTCATGCTCATATATCTTCCCCGGACATAAACATAACGATCCTAAACAAACACCGCATAATAGTCTCCTGTCTCATCAAGCTCTCCCTTCTCTGGCGTCAACAAACGCCTCGTTCTACCACAGCCAAACTGTAGGGCGGGCCGTCTACCTCCCCTTCCCCTTCCCGCATCCTCTAGCCCCACCCCTTGGGTCAATTAAGCCCCAGTCTCATAACACCCATTTCCTAATCAGACAAGAGAGCGATCTGCGTTTTAATGGTATAGTGCCTGTTGTATCATTTTACCTCTTAAACGCCTATCGCGCCGGCGGAGTTGAGTATGGTTGCCCCTGTGACACAGATATTCACACAGGTCGGGTCGCCCTGCTCTAGACGAGTCCGCATTGTTAAAAGCCGATAAATTTCATACATGCTGTCGCTGTAGCTTGAGATACATACCTGTCTTCAGTTCAACAGGCTTTATTAATAAATCAGGCTTGCCACATCTTTCTCTGTGGGTAGTAGGATGTGTGTGGCAGGTTGGGAAGGATGTGGGCTTGATGTCACGATATTCCCTACTGACCGCCTGTAGAGAGCATCTATATCCACGGCTCCGTGTTAATGGACATACAGCGGGCACTGCGACCTTCTTGGGGTCTGATATACATAGAGGGGGCAAAATCCCACCTAACACTACACAGTAAAAAGTACCTTCTTGTCATTTAGACATTAGTCTAGGCTCAATATCAACCTGATGATACTTGATTAAATACAGACTGTTTGGAGAAGCGTAGGAAATACATGTCTATTTAACCTATGAAACCTTTCAAAGAACAGCTGATGCCTTATATCTATATCCCGTGTGTCTGATTGGTGTCTGTTGTGCTAGTTCATTACATCTGCATCTCATATAGAAATCTGTTCAGAATTCAGAACACAATTCAATATGCGAGGTAAAATCTCCCCTCCTGGCAGAAGTGATGTTTTCTAAAGTTTGATGGATTTTGTTATGAATTCCTGTGGTCAGATCTTTCATGTGTGTGTCATGCAAAACATACTTCTGACCATTGTCTTGGAACATCCGGGTCCACGTGTGTGTCTTCCATATAGAATCGTATTTGAATATAGCATTTCCGTATCTGTCTGTATTTCCGAATCTGTATTTCCGTTTCTGTATTTCCTCAAATATCTGCATTTCCGTATTGTTTTTCTAAACCTTTCTATATATCGGTATATGTCTATATTTCAGTATCATTCCGTATTTCCGTATCTGTCCTTATTTCCGTCTGTCATTCCGTATCAGTCTATATTTCCTTATCTGTCTGTATTTCCGTCTCTGAGATCCCGTATCTGTATTTGTGTCTGTGAGATTCTGTATCTGTCTGTATTTCTGTCCCTGTCATTCCGTAGCTGTCTGTATTTCCGTACATGTCCGTATTTACGTCTCTGTCATTCCGTATCAGTCCGTATTTCCGTCTGTGTGATTCCGTATCTGTCCGTATTTCCGCCCCTGAGATAAAGTAGCTGTCCGTATTTCCGTCCGTGTCATTCCGTATCTGTCCGTACTTCCGTATCTCTCCGTATTTCCGTCCCTGTCATTCCGTATCAGTCCGTATTTCCGTCTGTGTCATTCCGTAATTGTCCGTATTTCTGCACCTGAGATTAAGTAGCTGTCCGTATTTCCGTCTGTGTGATTCCGTATCTGTCTGTATTTCCGTCCCTCTCATTTTGTATCTGTCTGTATTTCCATATCTGTCTGTATTTCCGTCCCTGTCATTCCGTATCAGTCCGTATTTCCGTCCCTGTCATATTTGTCCGTATTTCCGTCCCTGTATTCCGTATCTGTCCGTATTTCCGTCTGTGTCATTCCGTATCAGTCCGTATTTCCGCCTGTGTCATTCTGTATCTGTCTGTATTTCCGCATCTGACCGTATTTCCGTCTGTGTGATTCCGTAATTGTCCGTATTTCCGCACCTGAGATTAAGTAGCTGTCTGTATTTCCGTCCCTGTCATTCCGTATCTGTCTGTATTTCCGTCCCTCTCATTTTGTATCTGTCTGTATTTCCATATCTGTCTGTATTTCCGTCCCTGTCATTCCGTATCTGTCTGTATTTCCGTCCCTGTCATTCCGTATCTGTCTGTATTTCCGTCCCTCTCATTTTGTATCTGTCTGTATTTCCGTCCCTGTCATTCCGTATCAGTCCGTATTTCCGTCCCTGGCATTTTGTATCTGTCTGTATTTCCGTATCTGTCATTCCGTCTCTGTCTGGGTTTTTTTAAATCTGTCAGCATTTCCGTATCTATATTCCCATATCTATTTATATTTCCGAATCTGTATTCCGTTTCTGCATTTTCTAAGATATATATATTTCTATATTTGTTTTTCTACACCGTTCTATATCTATATGTCCATATTTCAGTCATAAGTCTGTATTTCCACAGCCTTCTATATTATATGTCTGCTTTTCCCGCGACAGTGTGTATTTTAGTATCTATCTTTATTTCCGTCTCTTTCTGAAATTTCCACAACTGTCTGTTTCTCCGTATCTTTCTGTATCTATCTGTATTTCCTAACTCCTAACATTTCCGTATCTGTAATTCTAAATCTCTCTGTGTTTTTGTACCTATCTATACCGTCATATTTGAATACCGAACTTCCACACCTGTCTGTATTTCCGCGGCCGTCAATGTCTGCATTACTACAACAATCATAACTTTCGATCCGTATTTTCGCAATCGTACTTATCGCATCTTTATATTATGTATAACTCTGCATACCCTGGCTTCTCTATATTTCTGCATGACTCTGTATACCCTGGCTTCTCTATATTTCTGTATAACTCTGCATACCCTGGCTTCTCTATATTTCTGTATGACTCTGTATACCTCTGCATACCCTGGCTTCTCTATATTTCTGTATGACTCTGTATACCCTGGCTTCTCTATATTTCTGTATGACTCTGCATACCCTGGCTTCTCTATATTTCTGTATGACTCTGCATACCCTGGCTTCTCTATATTTCTGTATGACTCTGTATACCCTGGCTTCTCTATATTTCTGTATGACTCTGCATACCCTGGCTTCTCTATATTTCTGTATGATTGCGTTACAGTCCCAGTATCGAACGTCTGTGTGACAGTCCCAGTGGCGAGTGTCTGTGTTACAGTCCCAGTGGCGAGTGTCTGTGTCTCTGTCTGTGTGACAGTCCCAGTGGCGAATGTCTGTGTGACAGTCAGTGCCAGTGGCGAGTGTCTGTGTGACAGTCCCAGTGGCGAGTGTCTGTGTGACAGTGACAGTTGCCATTGTCTGTGTGACAGTCCCAATAGTGAGCGTCTGTGTGACAGTCCCAATAGCGACTGTCTGTGTGACAGTCCCAGTGGCGAGTGTCTGTGTGACAGTCCCAGTGGCGAGTGTCTGTGTGACAGGCCCAGTGGCGAGTGTCTGTGTGACAGTCCCAGTGGCGAGTGTCTGTGTGACAGTGACAGTTGCCATTGTCTGTGTGACAGTCCCAATAGTGAGCGTCTGTGTGACAGTCCCAATAGCGAGAGTCTGTGTGACAATCCCAATAGCGAGAGTCTGTGTGACAGTCCCAATAGCGAGCGTCTGTGTGACAGTCCCAGCGACGAGCGTCTGTGTGACAGTCCCAGTTGCTAGTGTCTGTGTGACATTACCAATAGCGAATGTCTGTGTGACAGTCCCAGTACCGAGTGTCTGTGTGACAGTCCCAGTATCGAGTGTCTGTATGACAGTCCCAGTATCGAGTGTCTGTGTGACAGTCCCAGTATCGAGTGTCTGTGTGACAGTCCCATTAGGGAGTGTCTGTGTGACAGTCCCAATAGTGAGCGTCTGTGTGACAGTCCCAATAGCGAGAGTCTGTGTGACAGTCCCAGTATCGAGTGTCTGTATGACAGTCCCAGTCGCGAGTGTCTGTGTGACAGTCCCAGTATCGAGTGTCTTTGTGACAGTCCCATTAGGGAGTGTCTGTGTGACAGTCCCAGTATCGAGTGTCTGTGTGACATTACCAATAGAGAATGTCTGTGTGACAGTCCCAGTATCGAGTGTCTGTGTGACAGTCCCAGTATCGAATGTCTGTGTGACAGTCCCAGTATCGAGTGTCTGTGTGACAGTCCCAGTATCGAGTGTCTGTGTGACAGTCCCAATAGCGAGTGCCTGTGTGACAGTCCCAGTATCGAGTGTCTGTGTGACAGTCCCATTAGTGAGTGTCTGTGTGACATTACCAATAGCGAATGTCTGTGTGACAGTCCCAGTATCGAGTGTCTGTATGACAGTCCCAGTATCGAGCGTCTGTGTGACAGTCCCAGTATCGAGTGTCTGTGTGATAGTCCCAGTATCGAATGTCTGTACGACAGTGCCTGTGGCGAGTGTCTGTGTGACAGTCCCAGTATCGAGTGTCTCTGTGACAGTCCCAGTCGCGAGTGTCTGTGTGACAGTCCCAGTATCGAGTGTCTGTGTGACAGTCCCAGTATCGAGCGTCTGTGTGACAGTCCCAGTGGTCAGCGTCTGTTTGACATCCCAGTACCCCCATGTACAACCCTCCCCAACACCTCTCCTTCCCTGTCACCTCACCCAAAGGGCCATGAAGACTACAATCAATAACACGCCAACCAATCGACAGCGATACATTATCACAAGCCCAGACTCGTTTTCTGCTAAATTAGAAAAAAAGATTGTTTCCCCCGAGATATAAATGACCAAAGTTAGAAAGATTGGCATTTGCTCTGCATTTAGAGGAAACAAAATACGTTTCAAGATAAAAGTAGGAAAACGTTCGCAATCAGCGTTATATTGTTATTTTTCACCTCTGTTCGTCTCGAGGCTATATCGATCTGGGGTATAACTGTAAAACTTCATTTCATTCCAAAATACGTCAAAGTTGTTTTCTCCATCATTCTGAACAATGTGCTATGGCGATGCATCTCACGGTAAAACCAGTTCTGGAGTCGAACCTTAAATTCAGGTTTGTGAAAAATGTTAAAATGGAGAGAAAAAATAAAATATAAAAACAATCCTCATCATAATAACATCATCCACATCGACATAGTAGTGTGAACAGCATCGACATAGTAGTGTGAACAGCATCGACATAGTAGTGTGAACAGCATCGACATAGTAGTGTGAACAGCATCGACATAGTAGTGTGAACAGCATCGACATAGTAGTGTGAACAGCATCGACATAGTAGTGTGAACAGCATCGACATAGTAGTGTGAACAGCATCGACACCAAAATTACTATGAACCAGATCGTCGGGTCTAGGCTAACTGCCCCCCGACAACTGCCCCCATCATAACAAAAACACACAAACTAAAAGTAATAGTTTAAATTTCTTCTGCGTCTTCTCCTCGCATATTCATAAGAGTTGACTCCACTCTTTCTGGTGAACATACAAGGATCCCTCTAAAGCTAACTTAGCCTTCCCTCTCTGACTTGGAATCCACTCCATGGTTGTGAAATGACTGACAGGACACAGTTTCCTAGATAGACTAAAGGCTCTGTTTGTTGATATAATGTAATTTGGTTGTTATCTTAATTAAGTTGTTATCTTAATCACAACTCAACACATTGTTGTGTTAATGGATGTAATTTAAGATTGAGTTTAATAAAAACAATCTTATCAAGATGGGGTGTGTGTGTGTGTTTTAGTTTTGATAGGATGGGGCACTTGTCCTAGGGGGCAAACATCGTCGACTATCAGGAAAATGAAATAATAACGATAATCACCACCATCTTCATCATAATCATCATCTCCCAAAAATGAGCATCGTGTTTTCTATAGTCAACATTACTCTTCACACTCACTTCCTCCCCCTCCCGATCACCATAGCCATCATTTCCATGTCATCATCGTCATCATCGTCATCATCATCATCATCATCATCATCACCACCACCACCACCAGTCCCATATGATCAGCATCGTCGTCGTAATCATCATCACCATCATCATCACCATCATCATTCCTATCATCATCATCACTACTTAATCTATCATGATCACTAATAATGAGCATGGTTTTTACTTCAGACCGCATTATTTTCAAGTGATCATCATCTTCAGCATCGTCGGCATCGTCAACATTGTCAACATCGCCATCACCTAATCCTAACTTCAACCACCGTCGTGACAGCAATACTGACGAGACGACCCATATTATCCTTATGAAGTACATTTAGAAAGGACAACACGACCTTTTCGCAAACAGCTGGTATCATCACTTTCTGAAAGCAATTCATAAACACTTACAGTATGCTACGGTTATCATGCACTCAAAGGGGCCACAAAGTTTAGATTGTTACAACCGTACTTCGTGTCAATCAGTTGCACTAAATATATAACAACAAAACCCAGTTCGTCATATCCGTTAGTTTGTTACAAGCGTGTTCGTTATAAAGGTAGTATACTGTACGGAAGTCTGATTCGTATACTACACTCTGCTGTAGGCAGGTATTTCTTGTAACAATGGAAAAATAATGGATGTGTCGCTAATAGAGCTGTGACGATATATCGTATTATCGATAATCGTCATACTTTATCTGACGATAAATGTATCGATACTTTTTTTCGCATCATGATATGTAACGTTGACCTTAAAATTGTTAATTTTCACTAGAAATTGATGGTTATGTCAAACTTTACACTGTCTTGCTATCAAAATATATATTGTTTAAAGAAAATCGAAGATAGCATATCGTGATGTGAATCGTTTTGAATCGTATCGTTCCAAGATATCGCAATACATATCGTATCGTGAAATTTCTGTATCATCACACCCCTAGTCGCTAATATAGACAGCTGTGTCCCTGCTTTTAATAATGAAACCTTATAGTTTTTTCTAAGGGTAAAGGCGTAACTGTAGGGAAAAACAAAGATCGCCGGTAGTCATGGTATCATGTATATATACCATGTCACACCCAAAGCACTCCATAGACAATAATCTTTGTACCTTAGGGTGCGAAAATTCATCAAAAGTCGGACCGACCAACTGAAAAAAAACGACGTCGGTCCTAGTGTCAGACAAAATGCCGACCTGCACGCGTGAATCCAGTTTCGTCCATTACATTGTGCCTGCCTCCAGCGCAACAGCAACTGAGCGAGATTAAACTAGACTAACTCGACATGCAAACCTCAAGCAGCTACTGCTGCAAGTGTTCTAGATTTCTCATATGTACCAGTGGTAAGTGCTCTTACTGTCAGTATTTCAACACTGTTATCGTGGAATAACAGACTTCAGATCAGATCTATACTGTCGTGGAGAACAATGACGGACCTCGAGGTGTCCTGATAGACAAGCAGATGAAGATGGGATTTCTATGTCCTGGATTCCACGCCAGATTTTGTTTTTAAAACCAGACTGGCGTTATGGCCAGTTTGACAATATTAGTGTCTATTACTTATGTCGTGAATCAGAAGACAGCAGAGGCACGTTCGACAGTAAATGAATAAACCAGTTAGATGTCATGAAAGAGTGAGTATTTCAGTTATACCCGTGTCTGTGAGATAAATCATGGTGTAGGACTTTTATGACTGACTGACTGAGTTTGGTTTTACGCCGCATTTAGCAATATCCCAGCAACATCACGGCGGGGGACACCAGAAATGGGCTTCACACATTGTACCCCTGTTGGGATTCGAACCCGGGTCTTCGGCGTGACGGGCCAACGCTTTAACCACTAGGCTACCCCACCGCCCCGGACTTTTATGAAGAAGCGAATACGGTGCTGAGAAGCCAGATGAATCTGGGATTCAATCCACAGTGAAGGAAAGGGATTTGCAGGAAAGGGGCACAGCTCTGGTGGTGCAGGAAAGGGGCACAACTCTGGTGGTGCATGAAAGGGACACAACTCTGGTGGTGCATGAAAGGGACACAACTCTGGTGGTGCATGAAAGGGACACAACTCTGGTGGTGCATGAAAGGGACACAACTCTGGTGGTGCATGAAAGGGACACAACTCTGGTGGTGCAGGAAAGGGACACAACTCTGGTGGTGCAGGAAAGGGACACAACTCTGGTGGTGCAGGAAAGGGACACAACTCTGGTGGTGCAGGAAAGGGACACAACTCTGGTGGTGCAGGAAAGGGCACAACTCTGGTGGTGCAGGAAAGGGACACAACTCTGGTGGTGCAGGAAAGGGGCACAACTCTGGTGGTGACACAACTCTGGTGGGAAAGGGACACAACTCTGGTGGTGCATGAAAGAGACACAACTCTGGTGGTGCAGGAAAGGGACACAACTCTGGTGGTGCATGAAAGGGACACAACTCTGGTGGTGCAGGAAAGGGACACAACTCTGGTGGTGCAGGAAAGGGACACAACTCTGGTGGTGCAGGAAAGGGGCACAACTCTGGTGGTGCAGGAAAGGGACACAACTTTGGTGGTGCAGGAAAGGGACACAACTCTGGTGGTGCAGGAAAGGGGCACAACTCTGGTGGTGCAGGAAAGGGGCACAGCTCTGGTGGTGCAGGAAAGGGACACAACTCTGGTGGTGCAGGAAAGGGACACAACTCTGGTGGTGCAGGAAAGGGACATAACTTGACGCTTTTGATCGTAGATTACCAGCAATTCGTTTCCCTCCACATCACAAAAAACTGCCCTCAAGAATCGACTCAAGCCGCAAATTTTATGACAAATTCCAGCCGCTCTGTCCATTGAGTACTCACTAACCCACACACTGTAGTATATGGCCAGAGATGGCCTTGTCAAACCCTTTCTTCAACAAAACAATTACAACACAACCGAGACACATTAAAAGAGTACACATACTGACGAACAAAAGAAAGTACACATCAATCTTAGGAGGGATTATTTTTTAAGAAAGTAAACATTTGAAAAGTATTTTCATTGTGACTTAGGTCATCATCATATAACACATGTTATATTTGAGACTACACTTTCTCAGTAACCTTTTAAACGGCATGGTGTATTCAAACGTCAGCATCATACGTACGGTTCCCAAAGCACCAGTTGTGTACTTTCTTTTGTACGTCAGCATATTTATACTATAGCAATAGAAGGAAAATATTGCAGGGCGCCTCAACCCTTTAGGTATACTGTGGCTTGCAATACTGTCTTGTCCTGCTGCGAACAAACAGGAACAAGGAAATAAAGCAGTGGCGGATCGGGGGGTGGGGGTGGGGTGGGGGTTGTGTGTTTGTTGTGTTGTGTGTGTGTGTGGTTGTCAGGGGTTCGAACCCCTTTTGAAAATGACTTAAGACCACATTGACAATTTTGTTTTTGCGTTGGCGGAGCCAAGGGGGGTTCAGGGTTTTTTAACCCCCTGGACCCCCCCTTTCAAAATTCCTGGATCCGCCCATGTAAAGTACAATTCTCCCTCTTCATAAGGTACAATTCTTCCTCTACATAAGGTACAATTCTACCTCTTCATAAGGTACAATTCTTAGTCTTCACAAGGAACAATTCTTACTCTTCATAAGGTACAATTCTTCGTCTTCATAAGGTACAATCCTTACTCTCCGTAAAGTACAATCCTTACTCTTCACAAAATACAATCCTTACTCTTCATAAAGAACAATCCTTACTCTTCATAACGTACAATCCTTACTCTCCATAAGGTACAATACTTACTCTTCATAAATACAA